GACAGCCAGCGGCGGCCGTAACACCTTTAGCAAAAGCAAACCAAGCAGCCTTGAAGGAAGCAGTAAAGCTGTAGATGAACGCTGTGTTTAAAGTGGAACTCCCAGTGTTGTGGCCCCAGAGGGAGCTATCTTTAATGACTTAGCATCAGTGGGGTCTACAAGTTTGAAAGTAAAAAACACTGGGGGTGTGGAGTTAAGAAAGGAAATGAGTTTCCAAGCTAACCTACTTCAGTGTGATTGCATTGTGGTAAGTGTTAGGCACCATGTTTTGACTAGGAAAAAGATAGTATTAATAAATATTATGATATATCTGGTTCTGGAGTTGAGCAGTGTTATAGGAGTACAATTATAAATTGGTGTAGTAATCTTATTTCTAAAATAAAAGGAACGATACCTTTGTTAGAATTCTCTAATATTGATTAATGTCCTGAATTTCATTTCATAACTCATATTACCACCTCCACTATTATGATAAAATAAACCCTTGCAGCTGTCCTCCTCTGCAACCTGTGACCATACATTTTTTCCACACATTGGCGCATGGTGACGTCTAAACTTCACTACTTGTTATTCATAGTTTTACCACCACCTCCTGTTGTTGTCCTGATTGACATTACCCTTTCCAGTATCCATTTCACAATCTATTAAAAAAAATAATTCTCACTGGTCACGACTCCCACATAGTTACATCAGCAGTAAATCCTTATTTCTAGCCAGGCTGAACAGGGCAAAGGAAAGAAGTAACAGGTTCAAGTAGGTTTTCACATACAGGGAACTTGCCTTGGAAACACCGCACAAGAGCGCAGTTTTGGAGATGCTCTGACCCAGTCGTCTAGCCATCACAATTTGGCCCTTGTAAAAGTCGCTCCTGGCCCACCCACTGACAAGTTCCATGGTAACCAGATAATCAGTGTTATTCACTTCACCTGACAGTGCTCATAATGTTACAGCACATTGGTGTACACAAATTAATATGTTTGCAGCTCTAAGTCCTGCATTTGTCTCATGTACATTTGATGAGAGTTAATTGACTATATCCACACACACACAGAACACACAGTTCAGTGATTAAGCATGCCTAAAAAAGGCTGTGGTCTGGATAAGGAAGAGAGGATTGACATAACTTTGGTACATGATAAAGGAACACATTTTAAAAATGGCCAAGCGTAACTTGTAAAACACTGTGTCAGAAAACAACAGACAAATTGATTTCTAGAAACCAATAAGAAAAAAAAACATAATGATGATACTACCTTGGAGGATAGGAGGTACGATTTGTACAGAACAGGGAAGGAAGCTACATCACAGTTTTGTTATGACTCATAAATGTGATGACAACTCAGAGCCGTAGTGACTGTGTATAACCCTGTTCACCGTGAATTTATGGACTGTAAAAACATCACCAATTACTGACTGAAATGAGCCAGGGAAACGGAAGTGCGGTGCAATAAGTAACTGCTGCACAGCAGGGAGAGCTCAACTGCCGTGTGTGGGCTGCTCCAAATGTAGTCATCCAAAGTGCAGACAGTCAGTCAGATCTAACGAACAGCTGCTCATCACTTAAAATGTATTCCTCTCATGAATTTACTATTCTTGGCACAATTAAATTTTGTTTAATAAAAAAGAAATGACGTAAATGTTGAAATAGTAAGGGGGCAGGGGTGTGGTCTCTACTGCCAAAGACTGAAGTCGAGAATCTTCATTCTTTTCCTATTTGTTGTTCAGTCCTTGTATTGACTCGCCTGTCTATTAGTATTTGATTTAGAAGGAAAAGAGGCAGAATGTATGTGTCCATTTGCCTAACTAATATGATATAACATAGACATTTAACAAATCTTAGGAAGGTTTCTATTTTTAGAGATCTGGAATGGCCTCTTGTCTCAGCAGGAGCGTCCTTGTTGCTTGATGCTTATTGTACTTCTGATGACTTCATCTCTATTTATATACAATCATAAAGAAAGCTGAATGGATCCCCCACCCCTGTTGTACAAGAATCTGCATTGTGTGTTTGTATTCATACAGCTGGTCTACAGCAAAACCCTGATTTTACCACCACGGTTCAGAGAGAGGTTCTGTGAGGTTTCTATTGTTCTTTTGCTTCCTGGTCCTCTGCCTTGCCACCAGATTCAAGTATGTCAGTCACAGTCAGCACATTTAGCAAGAAGAAACCTCTCTGCAAGTCAGTCCCTGGAAAGGACACAGTCTTCACCTCATTTATACTGAAAAAGATTTGAAACAACGTTGGCATATTTTTGGAATGTAGTTTTTTCCACTAGACTCTGTCCATCAACGACAAAAGTGTCAGCCATAACAATCTCCAAACCATTGTCTTTTCTTGGCTCTCCTGTGTCTTATACACACAATATCGATGGAATAAAACTTTTAGTTCAAATGATTTTGTCTCCACACTCAATTTTTACAATTTTTCCCTGACTGGAGACTGGGTTGGAGCACTTACAATTCTTTTTGAGAAATATTTTTATTCAGGCGTTTTGTTTTTTATCAGTCCTGTAGGTTTGTGATCTTTGTGGTAAAATGTGAGTGTGAGTGTGAATGAGTGGCTCTGACAATGTGTGTTGTGTCTTACTTTGCCATTTTCCTGCATGAATTCTCTGAATTTTTATCATCTTTGTTTTGCTAAAAGTTTTATTGGTGGTGATCAGGACAAATTGATACCCCTTAATTCACTGTAGGTAATTACTCCTTGGTCGTAGCATGAATTCCCTTATTAATGAAGACTTACAAGAGCAGTGTGTAGGATTATGTAGAATCTAGCAGTGTAGTTGCATATTTGACCAACTGAATGTCCCGCCCCAGGCTAATTGCTTACTGTCAGTAACTTCATATTCACCTTATAGACATGGCTATAGACTAGTCTCAATCTTGTCATTGAACTCTTGCTACGGAAGCAAATTTCTTTCCATCAGTCAAGAGTTTCGTTAAACTGCTTCACTGTCCTTTACTACTATGTTTGACACTATGGCACTGCCACACTGATACACGCCTCCCCTTATGTGTATCATGGTTAGATAATGAAATCAACCTCTTGCATGGAGTTCTGCAAACAAAAGCCATTGACATTCTCTGTGCGTGAACTACAAATGCAGCAACAGCTTCAAGTTCATGGCTGGCTAGTAGCAGCAAACATCTTAGTTGAATTGATTATAATGACTGATCTGTACTCACTCTTTGTTGTGCATGTGTGAATTCTTGTCATGTTTATTTTAATGTCAAGGCTGACATTTCGTATTCTATTTTACAGGACATCATTGCAAAATAAAAGCACCCACAGTGTTAACCGTGTTCTAGTTGTTTTAGGGGTCACGTTATCTTTACAAATACAAACTCCAAAGCAATGAGATGCCATAAAAGAGTTTAAGACCAAGATTCAAGTGATTCATTTGTCATATACAAGTATATATATTGAAACATTGTTGCATCAAAACTCCCGGGCAGATGAAAATATATCAAAATAAGAATTTAAAAAAAGAATTTAAAAAAGATATAAAAGGTAAACATGGTTAAAAAGTGAAAATGGCAAAAGCAGATATAGTATGGTAATTTAAGTACTGTCTAACCGGAGTTGGCGCAGTTGCATCTGGACTCAGCTACACTATCTACAAAACATGATCCAGCTGTGCAGACATCATCAGTAACTGCTGTCTGTCAGATGACACTTGATTGCAAAGGATGACTCTTTTCACAAAATGTATTCCCGAGTAAACACTCTTGATAGGGAGGTTTGCACTTTTCGTGGCCACCGTAGTTTCTCTTTTGCGCTTGTAAGAGAAACAAGGGTCTGCAACTGCTAGATGCCACTAAACCCTACACATAGGTCCGTTAAGTTGCGCACCAACAGGAGACAAAGAAGGGCAGATGGCCACCCACCTAGAGCCGGGGTCTGCCCAAGGAGGCCTTGCTCATGGTGGAAACTGTGGCTCATGTTGGGAACTGTTGGGTCTCCTTTTATAAGGAGTACAGTCTAGAAAGTGTCCTGAGATAACGTTTGTTATGAATTGGTGCTATAATATTGAATATATTGAATAAAAGACGCAAATTCATTTCATGATCTCCTTTTATGAAACAGAATCATCCTGCACTCTTGGAGAGAGGCAATGGAGCCCTGCCTACAGCCATAGCAACAGCAACCATGACTGGCCATGAGACAGGTGTAGACTGGGGTTTACTGACAATTGATATAAGCAGAATTTTGCTACAGCTTAAGGGCTATTGTCATGACTTGGATGAGTTTATTTTAAAAGTCACTCATTGTTACTGAAAGCATTTCTTCCATACTCGAAAGATTGGGAAAGATGTCAGTCAAACACAGGTGACCTTGCTTCTCCTCTAGATCCCTAGGCTGTAGTATAGAGCCTCTAAAGCAAGCAGAAATGGAGGCAGCAAACACATTTGACATTTTTCATTTTTGTGTTGCCTTCTTTTGACACCAACTCCACTCCAGAAAAAGCTAGTTCCAACCTCACAGATCAGGGCAGAGTTAATGAAAAACAGATTAACACCTGCTTCCATGTGAGGACAATTCATCTGAAGTAAAAATGTCACAGTTTTATGTGATTTGTATAACCATTTAATTGATTGATTCACTAACTGATTCCAGCTTGCCCCAGACGATGCCTGGAAGTGTCCCCACTGTAAGCAGCTTCAGCAGGGCATGGTGAAGATGAGCCTGTGGACTCTTCCTGACATATTGATCCTTCATCTCAAACGCTTCCGACAGGTAGGTGAGCTGCAAAGTGGCCTCTTTACGAGGTAATCATATGTCCATATTGAATTCACAGCTTTTTCTTGCTGCCCCTAAGTGAAGCCCCAAAAATCAATAAATGCAGCTTTAAGAAAAGTGAAACTTTCATGCTTTCCTTATAATTGTGTTTTGTTGTGCTCTTGCTTTCTCTAAGGAGCAGAAGTATCAAAATCTAACAAAATATTTTTTTTTTTAAATACTCTGCTATTACTTATACTCCAAACTACAATCAGTAAAATATCTCCTCATGAATCTGAGTTAGGTTGGGAGATTAGGCAGTCAAGAGTAAATGCCACATATCCTGTCACCATCTGTAACAAGTTTGTGTCTACCTAGAGCTGAGGGAGAACACATACACATACACTGACTGGTGTTTTATGCATTCAGACTGTTAATTGAAGGGCAGAACATAAATGAATGCAGCTGAGTACAACTTGCTGCACAAACTAAACACTGGGCCACGTTCTAACCACAAAACTTGACGGCTCAGCATTAAACAAAAATCCAGACACATTACAGGAAGATAAACAAACACTAATACTAATATTTACCCGCAGCATTAGCCACTGCTCCTTCCCCTCCAACACACACACTTCATACTTCTCACTGTGCTTTGCCTCACCATTCTGTGTTGTCCGTGTTATCTGATGTAGACTCAGACTAAGTAGGTTGTTCTTATTAGGAACTGTCCCTCAGTTTGTCTGTAACTACCCATGTGATCATTAAAGAGCCCCAAGTAAGACTATATAGTCTTTAGGAAAATGTCTGCTTGACACCCAAATGAGATAATGTCAGTAAAACAAAGTAAAGAACATAGATTTTTAGCCATGTAAAGTGGCACGGCTCTAGTAATGGCAGTCTTGGTTGGTTGGTTGGTTGGTCCATCCATCCGTCCACTACTTAGGTCCAGACTGAAATATCTCAACTCGATGGATTCATAAATGGATTACTTTCTAAGTTTATCAGATGCCATAACACATAGCAATGTCACTAGCATGGCCCAAGAGATGGCAATGTCAGTCTATGGGTCGATCCACCTCAAAATGTTTTGAGAACTATTGGATGGATTGGTGTAAAACTTTGCACAGATGTTCATGGACCCCAATGTCTCCTAAAGACTTTGGTGATCTCCTGACTTTTCTTCTTTAACTTGCTGTGTGAAATATCTCAACATCTTCTGGTTGGATTGGCACAAACATTCATGGTTACCAGAGGATGAATCCTAATGACTTCCTTTCCCCTTGCGTCACCAGCAGGTTCGTAATTGTGGTTCTGAGTGAACTCAACAAGTAAGAAATTATTTTTCATCTACTGCCATCGTCAGGACAAATATTTAATTGTGCAGATCTTTGGTTTATGACCGAATGCCTTTAAAACTAATGGCATTCATCTAGCATGGCTGTAGACACTTGTATACTAAATGTACATACAGTATACTGTGACAATTAGTTTATAATACATATTGTAGACAAACCATGTGTGGTTTGAAATTGGGACACCCCAGAGTCTCATGGAATTCCTTGCACACACATTTTGACATGTCACAGTAGAAAAAGTACAGCTGTAAATTATACTATTAATGGTGGCTGAATTCCCTTAAGCAGCTTCAGTTTCAGGGCCCTGGTGTTTGTTTGTCACACTGTCATGGCTCACTGGGACACTTAAACAGAACAGCACCATCATTAATGTTAATAGTAACACCTGTGCTTTTCCTACTATGACAAGTCACAATCAACATGTCAAAAGATCTATACTTCAAACTGCTCTGCAATTCATGAGCACCAACAACAGTAAGAGCTTTCCCTCTGCAATACACATTTCAGCCAACCTCTCATACTCTGGGACAAACTCCAACACAGTAGCATTCACAGGGTACTCATTAGTATCTCCACACTAGAAATGTCCACAAATAGTGGCTGCAGTGACTCCAGCCACTGCCCTGTGTCCTGTTTGGTTTAAGCCCCATGTGCCAGGGCTGAGTACTTGCTGCAGCAGCTATGGGTTTGACTTTGACCTGTGGCCTTTTTCTGTGTGTCATTCCCTCTCTCCCCCCCTTTTCCTGTCACTCATCAGCTGTCAATTAAAGGCAATTATACCATGATCTGGCTGAATACTCGATTCTGATTGGCTGCTGGGTGTCTATTAATGCCTGATTTAGGACACCTACTGAGTAGATCCAGTGAAACTGTCTGTTTGCTGTTCGAAATTAATTTACTAAAATTACTGGAAATCTGAATATCCATATCCTAAGTATATCTGACAACACCGAGTGTAGTCCTTTAGTGCCACATACTCTGATCACCACAGGATAACGACTGTAACACATAAAACCCCAACACTGCCCCTTTGAACGTACTAATACAATGTATAAGAAACACAAAAATAATGATCTTATTTATTTTGACCCTATAATTGTAAGTTGTCAAAACAGGTGATTTGGTAGCAACACATAGTGCTGCTGCCATTGTCACATGACACTGTTAGCTGCTTAACATTCTGCTGTGTCTGAAAGTCTTTATGAAGGTCTGCTTACTCGTCATGGAGAGCACTACTCAGTCTGAGAAAAAGTTTTATGATATCTTTTGTGGCACTGGGTAAGGCTTTGAAAAAATAATTCCAATCATCAGGGTTCAACATCATCAGGGTTATCTTGGCTTTGGCTTGAGACTTAAAAGTTTTAACAGCGTGGGTTCTGAAAGAGGTTAACATTTAGGATGTAGGAAGGGTCTAATGAAAAACTGCATTAAAGCTCTTTGGGAAGTGCCTGAAGAGGTCAGTGGGTGGCGTTTTAGTTATATGTTTTAGTTACCCGTCTCACGCATCTAATGGAACCTGCTGCGCTGATAAGGTCCTGCTTTGCCTATGCTGCATGTTGGCCTTTGCTGCTTCGATTTTGATGGTTCTCTTTGTATTTGGTCTCTCCATCAACTTTATTGACAACAAAGTTATATCATATTCTGTTGAATAAATAGTAGCCTACATTTTACCTTCTGTATAATAGAATATTTTCTTTATTTAATACATATTGTACTTTCTGATCAGTGTCTCTATCTGCAGAGTTATGGGGTGCCATTTGACTATGCAAATGCAAGTGCTTTATTTTTATTTTTTTACACACATCACTGCCCATCAAAATGTATGTGCACATCACTGCCCGATGGCACTGCTCAACTAGGCAACGTACAGAAGGAGACAGTCCAACTTCTATCAAGGTGTTTCATTTCACAGCTGGCACAGTCTGCAAACATATCCCAACTTTATCTAGCTGGCACCACCTTCCAAACACCTTCTGGCTCTTTGCCCCCCAGAGAACCCATACCAGATAACATTACTGCAGCCAAGGTTAAGTTCAGCTATCCCTCCACCCTTGTCCAGTGCTTGACTGGCAGCCCTCTGCTTCTCCTCACTGATCGTGGTCTAAGGTGGCAGCATGTAGAGCCCTGAGCCCAGTAAGGCTAAACCTTAGACAACCCCTTCAGGTACTTGCCTGCAAGCTCCCATCCGTTGTGATTTCCCTCCACTGACCAATGTGATTTTTCTCAGTGTTGGCATTGAATTTAGTCAATTATTCTATTGGACTGTGCCATAGTTGTTCATAGGAGACGCCAGCATTTGGCATGACACAGTTGGCTGTGGGGGTGTGCAGACCTGTACGTCATAATAACATGCCAATCCCAGGAGGGACAGTGGGTCTTCAATATTAAAGAGTAATTTGGAGGGCAAATCCATACCGAATGACGTTGTGCAGAAAACTGCTGCTGCACTTCCCTTAGTGGCTTCAAGCCTCTTTACATGTCTGATCATTTCCGATTACACCCAGTAGTTCAACAGAAAGTTACAATCAGATGGGGTTCTTTTCTATCTTTTTCTAATACAATTAAACGAAAACAGTCATGCTGTGATAGGGTAGTGGTCAAAAGTACACAAACATCCTTGAAGGTTTCAACTTGTAGACACCTGTGTAGCTAGTTTTCTACCCCATGTGATTCGTTTTTGTATATATAAACTAGATATATTTTGTATTATGCATTATTTTATTTTCTGCAACATTAATTTGATAGCAGATACAATGTAAATTCAGTGTTGAATTTATTTCCATTAGAGCCACTCCATACATTTTCACATAAAAATGTGTGTTATTTTTCATGCCTGCAAGTATTTCTACTGTATATATGAATAAGAAATGTTGAAACAGGTGGGCGAACGGAGGAACAAGCTGTCAACCCTGGTGCGTTTCCCCTTGACTGGTTTGGACATGGCCCCCCATGTAGTAAAGAGGAGTCAGAGTATAAAGAACCTGAACTTAGGGGCTTGGCCACCTTCCTGGAAGCAGCCCTCAGGCCAACACCACCAACCTGCTGACATGATCCTCCCCCACGACTTTCTGTACGACCTCTACGCTGTGTGTAACCATCATGGAGGAATGCACGGAGGACATTATACTGGTAAGGAAATGGGTGGGTCTGTTAAAAGTCAAGAAATGGAATATAATATTCATAAGTATGTTAACATTAGTGTATAATCATGTTAAAATAAAAGTCCACTGTGTTGAACCATCCGGAATATAGTTTTCTAACAGAAGGATTCCAGTTTCTTTTAGACTTAATTATGAGCAAATTTGAGAATAACAGGATCATCTTGCAACAGAAATCAAAAAATGTGAAATTTAGGTACCAACATAGAGGGTAAGATGTTGTTCCATCCCTGCCCTGGAGTGTCAAAGAGGATCTTATATATCTGCTGATGCAGCCATTAAAACGTATAATGGGCCTAAGGTAATACATTTAATTGGCTGCAACTTAACATTTATTAAATGTTACAGTTGAAGCTAAAGAAATATATATTTCGACTCATCTCATTGTTGGTAAGGTTCGTTAATGTGTGTGTGACATTTCAGAGGCTGTATTGGCATAAATGGAATATAATCGTTGTTTTTAATTATTTGTATAAACATCTGAATATAGGAATTGTTATGTTTTTGTTACCTGTGGGTCATCTGTGGAGACCCATGGACAAATCAAACACTGGCTGTAGATAGGGCTATTCGCCTTTTTTTGTGCATTTTACAGCCACCATAGTTTCTCACACGCGCTTGTAAAAAGGAGGGTGGAAGGAGTTGCAATCTGCAACTACACCCTTAAATGCCACTAAAACGTACACACTGGACCTTTAAGCTTCTCTTTGTTGGGTCTTCAATCAAATCTTAAAATCACAAGAATGGTGAACAGCCTTGTCATCACAGGTAGTGCAACAGTGTTGCAGTATTTGAACAAATCCCTTTCTTGTCCATTCAGTAATTTAGTCACATTGTTCAGTCATTATGCATAAGATGTCAGTGTCTCATTCTGGTAGCCAGTGTTGTTCAGTTGCAGGAAACATACTAGTCATAATCCTGTCTGTATGTTTTGGTAACCTTTGGTATTTATAGTCAGTGTGGAAACTTGATAAGGTGTTAAAACACACTCTTGATGGACAGGTATTTCTTTTTCTACTTTCTCCCTACAGACCAAGTAATGCCAGAGGAAGAAAAGCATGTCAAAAACACAACATCCATTCTTTTATTCGAACACAAGAACTGAAAAACAAAAAGTGTCGTTCTGTCCAACTGCCTATTGTACTCCCAAGAGTAAACTGGTGTAAATAGTAGTATTTTAAGCTTGGATAAAAGACTTGAAAAGTTTAGGTGTCTGTTTGGACACAACTCTTTGGCCACAATTTGAGTCTCTAATGCCCTCTAGATGTTGGCTCAGTAACACAAATCTAATACTCACGCAGGCAGTAATTGCAAGTGGTCAAGTAGGCTTCTACTTGTTTGATGTATTTCCAGTAATTGCCAACAATGCCCAATCAACCAGTAACACTGTCAATGTGTGGAAGATTTTCAAACCACACTGGGACACACTTCGTTAATGAGGTCTACCCTTTGCTCACCCTTATATAAAGTTTAAGGAACAGCCATACAGAATTACAATCAGCCAACAATACAATGAAAACATATATCACAATATATCACACATTCAGGGGGCTGAAGGACTCTGGGTAATAAAATAAAGTAAGCTGAAATGAACTAATATGTTTCTATGTGAGACAGAATAACTGATAAAAGAAGAAAACATATATATGATAGATGTCTAAACCATCTATAGATAAAACTATGCATGGAGGTCCAACCAAAATTGTGTCTATGTCTGTAAATAGATTCAAATTGATTGTTATTATTATTTATTATTTCCATTTCTAGTCTAGTATGGCATTCCTTCAACTTTTTGGAGACACCAGCAAGTATATAAGTGAAGGGTTCAGATGGCTAGCAGGATAGGAAACTTGACACAGATGAGGCAAGACCAGGTCTGTAATTGCTAGGGATGGTCGGTGAAGACACACAGCACTGAGGCAAATATGTAGGAGAATAGGAGACGGCAGGAGATGTGGAGGATGGAGCAGTCTCCACTAGGACAGCTTGCTCGCACGGTTGTCTCTGTCTTTTATGGTACCTGAAACCTCTCCTATGAGTGTGTGTGGTTACTAGAGAGTTATATATACATACAATATATATACATTGTTTTTATGTGATACTACATATTGAAGCTTCTTTTTGACAAATTTGGTCTCTTCATAGGATTTGCTGATAATAAATAACGTCAGCCTTATCCTTAAAGCTTTGTATATACTGTACGTTCAGTCGGCCATTGTTCATACTTGCTGTCATTTTCTAATCCAGCCTACTGTAGGAACTCAGTGGATGGACAGTGGTACAGCTACGATGACAGCAGTGTAGACTTGGTGCCAGAAGAAGAAGTATGTACCCGAGGAGCTTACATCCTTTTCTACCAGAGACGCAACACCATTCCTCCATGGTCGGCCAGTTCCTCCGTCAGAGGTATGCTATCAACTGACTAACAAACAGGAAAACTGTTTTAATGGATAAAAAAGCACATGGAAGTGCCTGTTAGTAAACATAAGCCTGAAGAGTAATTTGGCCACAATTTTGACATATTGCTGTATATTTATTTTCTGCTTGCATACCATAGTGCTGCTCCCAGATCTGATATTAACTCCAAAATAAAACTTGGTTGGTCTTGGTTACATTTAGTAGCAGTTATTAGTTGCTTTAGGCAGATGAAGCTCTTTTCCACCTCTTTTCCCTTGTCATTAGGGACAAGAATTTTGGCTACAAAAACAAAAAAAGGGTCTTCCATAAATAATTTAAATAGAAGCACTTAAACAGCAGCTTACAACAAACCAATGACACATACATTAATCATGTCCCAGTAATGTAAAACACCAGCTTGAAGGCACAATGGGGAGAACTGAGAGACACTAGAAAATATTGTATCAAAAATATATTAAACTGCGTGACTCTAGGCTGTAGTGTAGCTGTGATACTACAAAATGTTGCTCTACATCTGCTGAATTCATACTAAAAAGCCTTATTATAGTATATTCCTCTTGACAATCACTATGACAGCTATAGAAACTGCTTAACACAACTCAACACACAGTTCTGAAGCAAGAAGGTCATATATGCAAGAGAAAAAACATGGTGTATGTTTTTTAATGCTTTTATCTGCTTAATATCCATAATGTGCTTGCATACCCAGATGGGATTAAGTGTGCAGGCCATAATCATCAAATAATGAAGAAGCCTGGTATTGGCTTTATAAGCATCAAAGACAAAAAAATGTCCATCGTTTGCAGGGTCACATGGGGGGCTGTAGCTTCCAGTATGCCCTTCAGCATACTGTGTTACTGTGTACTGAGAGTTGTGCATAGATCTTAAACCAATAAATTCATGCAAAAATGCACTCAACCACTAGATGAAAAGGTAGATAGAAATAACAGTATGTGCAGCTCTCTGCCAGCGCATCAAGCAAGAGTTTGAGAGAGGGCGTATGAATATGTGAATATGTGAGAGGGGTCACATTAACATGGATAACAGCAAACATGTAAATACTTTTAGTGAGTACGGAATAGATTTTTTTCTGCTCAAACTAACTTTTATTTTGTTGCGTATAATTTCTCTTTAAAATATAATTCATGTGCTTGCAATGTATTTTTTTCTCAGATTGCTCGCTCAGGAATAAGGTAGAAAAATAACACCCTATATAGAGCTGTTAAAGTTTAGTAGGGATAGAGTAGTATGGAGAATATAGAATTATTTGCTCAATAGTAAGTCAGTACCTTATATTAAAGTATTACATTCTTACATTACATTTAGTAACATTGTTGAGTTTCCATAGGGCTACCTATACCGACCTACCAGCCTTAAAGCTGCTCTTTTAACAACCATTAAACCTTCTTTTGCTTCTTGTCAACGTGACTTATCATCTTAAAGAGCTACTCAGTCATGTTTTATTGTGCACTAAAAGCAATACATCCAGGGCAGATTCCTTAGATTTAGATTATTTGTCAATCACATGCATTATTGTCAAGCCAAATGGGTTTCATACAGTCTTACAACTGCTGTCCTCTTTTTTTTTTAAGACTAATGAATCACATGTTAAGTGCCACTATGTCTATGCAAAGAGGCAAAAGTGAAGTACATCATGGCAGTCATGTATGCATGGGGATGAAACCTTTTGCCATGACTGCTCCGTGGAGCGCATAATAAACCTTTCCCATTCTATTTGTGTTGCCACTTCAGCTTACTGCAGCTACGTGAAATCAAAGAATGTCTGTAAGGCTCAAAAACAAATCACCACAGGCACACCACGGCTTGCAGTTCTTTGCCTGTGTCTACTGAGTGCATGTGCACAACAACAAACAAACTGATTCTCCTAAAATGAAAGAAGTCCACTGGAGAGGCTGAAACAGACCACATTGAAGGTTGAAAAGAGTTAGGCACTTACTTCCTCAGGAAAAGGCAAGAATACTTGGGGTAACAAATGTCATTTGTTCCTTCTTGTATCTCTTTTTGCAGCTCCTGGCATTTTCACAAAAAAGAGATACATTCAAGGATGGAGGAGGCAAATTTTATGTAACACCAAATACTTGTTTAATTGACAGGACCTTTCAGACCATTTTTATCTATCATTATTGACTATGGGCAATGGACTCCTACATGAACACAAATCTTGGTTATTTCAGATTCGGGATCTCTGTATTTGTGTGTATTTGTATTTTTCTCCTTGATTTTTTTCTTATTGGTTTAAGATGGATGGAGCTCAGTTGGAAAGAGGCATGTCACATATTTTCAAACAAGGTTTAGTGACATTTAAATCAAACTGTGATGACAGTCATGTATGTTTTTTTCTTGCCTTGCCAGCACTGTCAGTCAAATCTGATCAAAACACACTCACACTGTCCTGGTGAAACAAATTAGCTGAGCTTATCTGTATTAAACTTGTAATAAATGATAACTGATATTTGTTTTAACTTTGATTGATGCTTATGTAGACATATTTTTATTGCAATTAGTGATATTGTTTCCATGGCAGCCTGCTGAACTTAAAGTTTAATAAGATCAGTTACAGTGACTGTGCAATGTTTCAGTGAAGGTTTTTTTTCCTATCCAGTGCAACACTTGCACCATAGACTGGTGTTAGTCTTCCTTTCATTTCCCTGTGTAAGCTTCCTCCTCCCCCTCCTAATTGAAGAGATAAACAGAGATAATGCTTTTAAGGGACACCAGGAGGCACAAATAACAACAACAAAAGCACTGCTCTTTGCAAGGAGAAACATGTTTGCTCTCAACACTGGTACAGGCACGTACTTAATGTCAATTAACCTGACTCAGAACACCAAGCATTAGTACGCTCAATATAGGAGATCCTGGCACACACAAACATTTTCCCTAGTATATTCACTCAAGTACTGTAGTTACTGTTACAGTTTTGAGGTTTTTTACATTATATGTTAACCATAACCTTTATTTTATATTTTTGTGCGCTTTCAATCAAAAGCTAATGTTTTTTTTTTATAAGTCATAATACTGTTTCCCTGGTAACACCTGAGGTCCTTCCGAATTCGTAGTGGCAGTGTAGGGACTTGTGTGTTATAGTCGCCATCCTGTGGTGTTCACTGGATGAGGTCCTGAAGGACTCAGTGTTGATTAGATGTTGTTTTCATTCAGTTCACTGGAACTACTTAGTAGGTGTCCTACATCAGGTTTTAATGGAAACCCAGCAGCCATTAAGAATTGAATAATCACCCAGACCATGGTATAAATTGTGGTATGACTATATTTAGTTAAGTAAGGATTTGAATAATTTTGTTCCCCACTACCGCCGGTCTAATGGACCTGGAGTTCCTATCTCACTGTGTGTGTCTTTCCCTTGACCTTTTCTTTAAACAGGAATCAATTTTACACATGGCATAGTTGTTAGAGACAAATATGACATATGACAAAAGTTGTATAAAGCCTGACTCCAGTGGAAGCTTTTGGTTTTAATGTCCTTCATGAGTCCAACAATGTTATGGGAGTGCAATGCAAAATTGGTGAAATAGTCTTTTATGGTTTATATTCCTCCTCTGAACTCTCTCTTCCCTCTGTGTGTCACAAAGGATCCACAAGTTCATCAATGTCAGACCACTGGCTAATCCGGCTGACAGGGGACAGTAAGAGAGGCAGTCTAGTCTCTCGATCTTCCACCACCTGCCCATCTTCCGTACCTGACTCGCCTGAGTCTCCAGTCTTCCTTGAAAATTGTACTAAAGAGGAAAGAGGTAAGAGGCCACAGCCAGGATTTGCCCTGATCAGTTCAGTAGCTTATTCTGTGTAAAGATGAATTTTGATGTAAACCAAAAACATTTTCCTCTTCTTAATTATTAGGGGGGTTTGACAGCAGGCCATTTATCAGGGGTCTTCAGGGACGCAGCGTGAGCATGAGAGCCCCCAGCAAGACCAAGGACACCCTGAGCAAAGTGCTTCCCCTCCGCTGGTCCTTTGGTTCAAAGGACAGACGGAAACCTGACCCAGTGCCTCCATCTGTCCAAGATCCTGCCCCTGTGGAGCTGGTACAGTACTTGGAATCTGGCCGGCGGCCCCGGTGCACAAAGGATTCAATAGTAACATTGATGAGCGAACCACGCAGCACAAAGGAGGCTGCTGATGGCAAGGCTGCAACCAACCTCCGATCTTCCAGTCTTGGGAGCATAAGTTGTGTTGGTAAGGCAGGAGACGAGTATCCACAAGTCCCAGAGGGCCAGAGGAGGCCATCAGATAAGGCAGCCAGCTTGAGACGCAGCAAGGGGGGCCAGACAAGAGATGAGAGCATTACAAATATCAGCAGTAGCTCCAGCAGCAACACCCTCACCAGGAAGAAGGATGCCAGGAGGCAGAGCTCCTCCAAAGCTCCCCAGGATACTGAGACAAAAAAGAGTTCCAGTGCTGGAGTTCAGCCCAGCTACAGTACTCCCAGCCTTCATGATGGTACTCTGAGAAGACAAAAGGGGGACAGGGCTGATAGGGAACACCACGGTACGTATGAAGGAAACTCTAAGACCAAGAAAGGGGACGTGCCCAAGAGCCATGAAGGACTACTCTCCTTCTTCAAAGGTAACTTCCTGAAGAAGGATAAGGACTCGAGGAAGTCTAAGGAGGGTGAGCCACAGAAAGGAGGAGGTGAGGAAGGAGGCAGAAGGACCATCTCTAGGCTGTCACTGTCCAACGGAACAGCAGGAGGAGGAACTGGGGTGGAAGGAGGCAAGTCTAATGGATCAGGCCATCGTGATGAGCTGGCAAATGGGAAGGTGGGACGAACCACGGCTGACATCAAACGCTCCCAGAGCTCTTCCAACATCCCCACCAAAGCGGAGCATAGCATGCGCAGGACAGCATCTTTGCATCGTAATGGGATGTCTACAGCCCCAGCACCATCACGTAGCCTGACGTCAGACAAACCCTCTTATGGCACCCTGCAGAGGACTCGCTACAGCACAACCTCACTGGGACGCAAAAGGACAGTCCCCGAGTCCAGCTTCTGACCCAGATATTTATCACATTCACACATACACAAAGCCTTTTATCTGTCATACAGTGAATGACGTCCAATCTCTGACATCAAAGCAATAGAGCTCAGTTCACAGTGGTATGCCTTTTTGTTCCCTGAAATTGAACTGGCTGAAATGGTTTGCACCATGGAGATGAGAGACATGAAGCAGATGAAGGGTGCTTAAATGCTGGGATATAAGGAGCAGAATGAAATGTCCATTAAACATTAGAGGGAGTCCATTTTTATTCTGTTTTTTATAACTTAAAACAAGTGCCTGAGCAACGAATATGCAGTTTAGACCAATGAGTTTGTCTGTTTAGCACTGGAAGCACGGAATCGCTTACACAAACACATGCACATACAAGCATACTATCCACATTTGTGTCTTATTACTGTGGTTTGAGTGTTGGAATTCATCATTCCATTTTGAATTCTTATGGTTGTGTGCTTACAATCAAGACACACTGATTGTGTTCATTTATAGGATTGTAATGTGTTCACTTGATTAATGTTGGTCCTTTAAGCTGCAGTTTCTGATTAACATAAATTATTCATCTTTAATCCCTTGTTTAATGTTTATTTAAAGTTCAGGATGGCCTTTTTTTTATGAAGCGTTGAATTATCCCCATGTGACCCAGACTGCAGTTGTTGTTTATCCCGAGTTTAACCTGCATTGGAAATACCATGACCTCTAACTATAATAATTCGCTGGGATTGGTATTCTGTAGACTCACTGACCTTGGTCTCTTAATCATTGTTTGGCAATGTTTCTCTACTAGGACCAGTAGCGGTTTCACTTTATAGCTGAGCCTGATTAACCTCCCTGTGACGGAAGGGAATTTAGAAAATACTTTTGTCTGCTGTGAAGTGTTATATTAATGCAGATGGATAATGTTTTATACCTTTTATATAACATCTCTTAATCATACTGAACGCATTCCATGTTTTTTTTCTTTTACTATTTGGTGTAATCACCTTATTTAATTTTTTTTTCCGTTTATGATTCCCTGTGTTTTCCAGAAGGTTATTAATTCCTTCTTCAAACAGTCGAAGCCTAGATTAAAAAAAATTTAAAAATGAGAAATAGAATACACATTTTTATTTTTCCTTTTTATGTAAGCATTTACTGTGTGTTTACTGTACACTACCTAGCTGTCAACTAGTGTGTCTGTTTGTACACCTTCTTGCAGCACATACATCCCTTAAAATTGCATTCAGTCACAAATGTAACTATATGTTCAGTCAATAGTAGTGTCCCTCCAGCTGGATGGCCCATAAGAAACAATTTTAATGTTAAAGACTAGTGAGCAAAACTAAGCTCCACCCATGGTCCCACCTCCCAGTCTGTGATTGGACAGTTTTTCATTTTGGCATGGACAATAAGTTTCTCCCCATAGCCTCCTCATGAAAACTAATGAATGCTCTGCATTTAGTATTTGCAGGTCAACACAGTAAATGCAAACATAAAAATGAAATGCGTATTATAAAGTATTTTAATGTTGGCATTTTGCATTTTTCCTCAGTGAAAAATTCTTGCAGTTCCTTTGTGAATCCGGCATAATGAAGGTGTTGCTGTGCACTTTTCACAGGGTAGCGTATTATGATAAACTATGATAGTGTTCATGTCCCGAGAGATTCATTTATGCTCTCTGCAAAATTTATTTTTGGGAACATGTAAGCATATTTTATTTAATTTCATGTAATCTGTGTTATTTTTGCTGAATTGGACCTTGTTTTTTTCCAGTATGAACTTGCTTCCAATTTAAATAGTTGTTTACTTGTATGAAATACACAGTAAAACTACACTCTTGTACTTTTGGCTACTCTGCAGCTTCAACCAGAGCCACTGGAAGTAAAGTCACTTACATAAATGGTGGAGGAAAGCAGATTGTTAATTTCATTTTCCTGGCACAGATGTCCTCAGCCACATAATTGTGATGGGTAACATCCCTGAGTTATCATAGTCTGCTTCAAATTCTGGTTGTACTATAACAGTAACTTGCCAGTTGGATCGCCTCATTTGCTGCTGCAGTGATGTTTAGAAGTTATATGTGCACAGATATTTCCCATGATGCTTTCTCAGACTCTACATATGTATGGCCCTATTATGATATTTGCACAGTGCTGAGATTTTATTTGCACTTTACACATAAGGGAAATAACTACTACTAATGCTAAATAATATTTTCTAACTGGATGACATTGCAATCCCTCAAACAATTTACTGACAGGGTTAGATGCAAAATGAAAATTGAAAATACCAAGTTCTGTAAAATTAACATATATTTAATAAGCAGCCTCAGAAATTGCTGTGCTATAACTGAACAGTCAACATATTGGGATGGAGTATTCACCCTCCATGATAATCTATTGGACCAGTTATCCACTTGTACAGTGTAGAAGAAATAGCATAATCATCACCTCTTGCATAGTCTTTTGTTTATATACAGCTTCAGTTAATAATTTCTTGAGGTTCACAGCCTCCAGTTGCATAGAGAAAAGCACTATGAGCTATTTACTCTTAATCTTGAAACCTGAAAACCAACACTTTTTATCTAATATCAAGAATTTGTAATGGACTTCCAAAGGACAATGACTGCTTGATTTACTGTACATACACTTTAGTGCAGTCATTAAATTGATGACTGCATAAATAAATAAAAAAATTAAATGAAAACATTAGAAACAGGTAGTTTATTCACATCAACTATGTCCAATCACATAATGACAGTATTCACATTTGAATGTGAGTATGTTATGCCTTCATTTACTGTTTTTTCAAATGTGTAACAGCAGCCTTAGAATTATCTTTTGACTCAGTCTTAATGAGAACAAGTAACCCCACAAAGTCACCTAGATTGAGAGACTCTGCACAAACAAAACCAGAGTTAAAAATTTGCTGCAAATACTGTTTATTGTTCAAGGCTTTTTACGATGCCTCACGTCGATCTCACTTTAAATCCCAGTTCAAAGAATATCACTGTTACTCTTTAAAGTAAACAAGCATGTCGTTTTTATCGGGAAGGATACCTATGAAAATCAAAGAGTTGAAGCAAATGGAAGCCAGTTTTCTATGCAGATCATCAGTTTGTAGCTCATTGCGTTGAACTCTTGAATTAACAATTTATCATGTTTATGCCAAGGGTACAAGCTTCTGTTTCTTATGAACGACGATACTAAAGAGCACTATGCTTTCGAGTCTATGACGCGTGAAATTCTTTATTTCAGAGGAGAGGGTTTGGTATCACATAGTGCAGCCATAATTTTTTCTGTTAGCAGATGTCTACTTTCCCTACTAAATAACTCTCCAACTGCTTCAACTAGTTGTACTGTTTGCATTTTATGTTAGATTTTACTAGCCAAATCAGGGAAACTCAATGACCAAAATTTCCAGAATGTAATGGGCAGCCAGGAAAGAAAAAAAACTTTTTCTTTTTAAATTCTAATATTAAATCTTTAGATTCCTTTTGCCTCTAGCTTAATTCTCAGTACCTACATTGCACAAAACTCTTAAACAACATTTATACATTTTCTTAAAAAGGTGCCTGAGATTTCCCCAAAACGTGTCTCCCAGATAGCATCATCATTTAACGGTCTTGCAGATAGATGTCTAATGTTTCTATTCTTATCCTCAAACCAAAAAGGCCATGCTGACAAGTAATTAATTTTGCTGGAGGCATTAGTCATAGCGTTGATTAATGGAACACTTTGTTGGAAAAAGCCTTTTTCTTTTCAGGGTGATTTTTTCAGAATATTTTTTATTTCTGCAACAAATGAGTAAAAATATTTGTGGATTTTTGTGTGTTGATTTAACTACTAAGACAATGTACTGAGTGTGTTGACTCTCACTCAACCCTTAAAAAAACACATTACATTTATTTTCACTAGCACTTTCAGTGAGCTCTAATATATTTTTCTTTTGAGCCCCTTTCTAAATGTCTAAGCAATAATAGTTGAATGTCTTATTCATTAGTGTTCTGAAGTGCTGTTATGAAATAAAACTTGTTCTTTGAGAGGGCGCATGGAAAGTTGGCCATTAAAGAAGCCAAACAGAAGATATTGTTCGAAAAATCAAAACTCAACACTCAATACATTAATAAATCACAAAGTGAGAGACTTATGTTTCTCCCTTAAATGTAACCATACAATGAACCGTATGAATGAATTCAGAAAGGGCTGAAATTACTATAATCACATAGTTGTTAAAATAACACACTGTAGCCAGAGATTTGTGCTCTCAAAAGCCGAGTGCCCATGAACTGCAGGGACAGGATGACAGCTGTGGCTTTGTATTAAGCTAAATAAATTGATGTATTCATATTGACGCTCTATGTTGTCCATACTGAAATGTGTGAATTAATGCATGAAAAATCAATACCCTTAGTGTACTCTCTAGAGCGTCCAGAGAGGATTAAAAATAACCTCAAATTGTGGAATCATTTCTTCACCTTCTTTAAATATATAAAATATATGAATCTGAATGAGAAAACATACACACTTTTACAAAGCTGACCATTTCCATCTTTTCAGTACATTTTCCTACATCCAGCTTAAAACACCAAGTCAAAGCACATTTAGAAGTAGCAAATAATCACTGATAAATTGACTTTGATAAGTTGAGTTTAAATAGGGACATGTGATCTGTATTGCATTATAAATTTAAAAGGTTGTTTCTGGTTTTCTTTGCATGGCTCAATCCACTCATGGCCACATAATATACACAATGTTTACTCTGCCAAACTGAGCACTGCTGTTGAGTGTTAACACAATTTTTGTGAAATGTGGTTTGAAGATGTTTTTATATGCAATTTTTCTACATTTTATTAAAAAAACAAAACAAATTAATGTATATATTTGTGGATACACACAGGTAGAACTGTGTGGGTGTGTGTGTGAAAGACAGAGACAGGAGAGAGAGAGAGAATAAATAACCTTATTATCAATGACATTTGACCTGTGGGTGTATTGATTTGGGACTAAGATGCCAATCCAGCAGAACTCACATGCAATGTATTCCATATTTTTGGATGTAACAAGTGTGCTTTCACTGTAAAACAACAGTTTCTGCCAGAATTGTCTGTACATGATGGTATATTATTTTATTTTTCAATACAATGAATAAAAAGGTATTATTTATGACTATGGGTGCTCAGTCAATACCTTTTATTGAACCAATTGCAACCAAGCAGTGTAATATTTTAACAGAGGATGCAAGACTTATTCCATAGAGACAATAAAGCACAAGAAGCTAGCCACACAGTTATAGTAGCTGTAGTTCTAAGTAAGCTAAAATTCACTCCGAGCAGACATCAGGACAAAGTTTAGCAATATTAACATGCCTTCTGTGGATTCCAACACAACCTCTGCAAACTTAGAGTGCTACACAACAGAAAGATCCATCTTTTCTCAGTGCCACAGGAACCAGAAAAGTTTTACAAAAGTATCCTGCAGCCAAAGTACTCTCCACTGGTGTGTGAACCATACATACAAAATGATGCGCTGCTGAGAGTTGTTTTCACAGACACAAGAAACTTGGGACTCCACTTAGGGATACAGCTGATCAGCCAAGGCAACTGCTGACCATCAGGATATGCAGTAATAGAAGTAAGCGTTTGTTGTTGAGTTAAAGGTCCAGTGTGTAACATTTTTTGTCAGGAATCGAAAATTATATGTAAATCCTACATACAGTATTTCAAATAAAATCTAATCTAATCTTTCTATTCATCTGGAAGATATTTTATTCAAGGTAAAATATTTATCGCAAAACTAAATCTTATAAATATGTATGGCTCTTACAAAGACAACACATCATGTTTTAAAAAGTTATTTCTCACTGTGTCTGCCTTGGGACTTGATATTAGGAGGAGATTTTTACTGTGCCCTCGACCCACTGTTGGAAAGAGCTCCAAATTGAAACAGACTAATTAAAGTTTGGCGAAAGCAGAACTGAAACAAAATGAAAAAATGCATAGTACTAATTAGTGGAAACATGCAACTTTATCTGTGGACATTAGGTAGGTTTTAAAGCTTTGCTAAAGATGGAGGATAAGTTAGAGGATCCAGCCTTTATTAAATTTGTGGAATGTGTCTATATCATTGTGTTGCATTGAAGATATGTATATGACATTGATAATTTAGCTAAATACAGACAAAACTACAGTCAGCATTATGGGAAGCGTTTAAGGCCTACCGGGAGAAATTATTACACAAGTTCTAAAATCAAATAGCACAAGCAAGAATTATGAATATTAGAAAACTAACACAAATTAAAAAGCTGAGACTCTTTAAATTACATCATCTATCATGAGAGTGAACTGACAACTAAAACATACTATGACCAAGGTGAAAAAGTAAGAAACTTATGGACCCATTAGAGATAAAACATGAACTTGTATATATTAAAGCTCAGACTACATTTCTTGACTAGTTGACATTTCTGACTATATCAGATGATGAAAAAATAGCACTAGATCATTTGTTAATAACAAAAGAACTTTGTGAAGCTATAGGGGATTCACTGATGGGTTACCAATACAGTTTTACAAAACATTTAAAAGACTTATAATGTAATTTCTTTACATGTATGAATAATCGTTTATTAAAGAAATGCTTCCAGATTCATTAAATGTCATGGCCATGGCTGTATCCTTGCCTATTCCGTGTGTTTTTCTTGTGTTTCCCCCTCCCTTGTGTCTCCTGTCTGTGTGTCGTGGGTGTGTTTTTCCCTCCTGCCTTCTGTTCCACACACCTGCAACTCATCAACTCTCCCAGTCTGCTCACCTGCCTGCAATCAACTCATCTACCCCAGAGCTCCATCTACTACAGATCGTTTAGTCTTCAATGAGAGTTACACCTCACCTGTCTGCCTTTGTGCCTGCCAGCCAGCCTGCTATCCTCAGAAAGCAATTTCCTCAACCTTCTCACTATGATCTCCATAACCATTTTTTGTTTCAACAAAACAAAATTAACTTTGCTTAACTCTGAATCTGTCTTGCATTTGGGTCCACATCTTTATCTAACACAACATTAAGAACTGAATCCTTGTCTTACAGACCAATTACTTTAATGGGATGTGACACAAACATTTCTAGAAGATTAGATAAATATATATGTCAGCTAATTATTGATTGATCATTACCAAAAATGACAAGAACATCACAATATTAGATAAATCTTTATTTTACTTTATAATGCAAAAGATGCAGCGATGCTATCAGTAGATGCATGTTGAGCATTCGACAGGTTACCTTTTCTAATTACTTCCAAGATTTGGGCTAGGCAAAACATTTATCAAATGGATTTAACTAATATACACAAACTGTTGAGATCCTAACTAATAATACCATCTCGACACCCTTTAGTCTACAGAGATCCACCAGACATTCTATTCACTTTAGCAATTTCAGCCTCTAGCTATGGCTGTAAGAAGACATACAGGATTATCAGGCATTACAACTGGGGGATCAGTCTATCGCATTTCTTTATATGTGGATGATATCATATTGTTCCCGACATATTTTAAAAATTGTTCTCCCAATTTGATGAGATTATTAATTAGGCTTTAATTTCCAAATCTTAGATGGTACTTTATTACTGCCCAATCATATGCTTTTATTTGATCAGTTATGTCAGATCCCTATACTTTAATTGTTTGCATGTAAAAAGCTATATGTCATTAAAATATGAACAGATAAGTCTATCACCTTTATTAAAACTTGAGGAAATAACACTTTTAACTTTAGATGGGAAGGGCCATATATCTAAATATTACAGAATATGGGTTGCATAGTATAGTACTGAATCAACACTAGATAAATCAAATCTAGTAAAGAAGGATATTCCATTTCACCATCAGCAGCTTACCAGCTGTTTATACTGGCTTTGTTTTTGGTAGAGGAGGCAGCAGCCCCTGAACCAGTTCATGTTTCAAATATCTTTTAATTAATATGTACTGTCCTTAGTTGCCCTAAAAGAATTAGGACACAGAGGGTCTCGAGGAGCCATGTAAGAACAGGGATATAGAAAATGGAACCCGCTACATCTGGAAGATGATTTTGAGGTTGGCCAGCAGAAGAGCTTAGCCCTTAAAACAATTTAGTGCTGGAGACAAATAGTGGTAATAGAAAGACAGCGTGTGGGTATTTTGTGAAAGTTAATTTGGGAGCTCCCTATGAGCCCAATGTTGCACTGCTGCAGTCCCTCCTCCAGTCAGTTCTTTTAAAAAAATTAAAGATAATGTGTAACTGAGGGGAAACCCTGGATAATGTAAATAGGGTTATTTTCTAACATTTCTAGAGCTTTCATATTCTGTACTGTTGTTACTGATTCTCTTTTTTTGAATAGGTATATTTTCTGAAGAAATTAGTGGTCATACCTGAAGGGGTGGAAGGAATGGAGGTGTGTGGGACATGGGGGGTGAGGGGAGGGAGTAAGGGTTGAGGAGAGGGGAGGGATGGGCTGATTATAGTTTTGTACGGTTGTCGCATTACTCAGCCTGGGGCTGTTATGTTACCAAACAAATAAAGATGTCTGCCAATTTCTAATGAACATCCTGAAGAAGAGCACTGCTGCCTGTAATGATTTGACTTACGTGTTACCTCATGAGGGACATAACTAACAATCATTAAGTGTCTTTTTTTTTAAACGCATACATAATTGCAAAATGATCCATGTTTGTTATGTTTACAGCGTTCTCCTTTAAATCCCAGATCTGTTATAAAATGGCCTCATCAGTTGCATCACAGTTTCTTTTTCTCCTGCTGGGAGTACCAGAGGATTAAGCCAGCGACAAAGGCTCAGAGGATGTGGCTGTCAGGGATGATAGACCTGATGAGGTTGGAGATGTGGTCTAGTAAGGGGATAATGTCCTGCTGTTTCTCTTCATCCTGCTCTTCTGTGTCCATCGTTAAAGGCTACCTGTGCAAACAGCAAACAGAAGAGCACTGAGCCATTCTATTTCATTTCTATCCATTGATGAGGCTGAATAAAGCATGACTAACTTTAACTAGCATAACCATGTTATTCCAACTCATCAGGTCTAAAAGTCTTTAATTGGTTTGTATTTGCCAGACAAAAGGTGCATCATTTTGGAAGGAGGAAATGCAGGAAACTCTAATTGCTGTAGTCTCACTTAAAGGCAAAATATAGTTTTGTCATGATGATGTTCGAAGCAGCTTCTCTGTCAAAACTGTGAAACTACAGTAACTCAGTTGGTTACAGAAAATACAAAATCCTACAAAGCAATATACAACTTCCATACTACTGAAACATAGTATACCACAAATCAGTGTAGAAAGTGAAAGCTATAAGCAAAATGAAAGCTAAGGTGATGATGGTGTCAAGCAGATCAGATAAGGAGCTAATCTGAAATGCACAAATGACTTGTTCTTTGTTTAACACAGTAATCCCCCTAAATGTAATAGATTTGGTACATGTACAGTACAACTCTGCATAATCTTATTAGTCCAGCCATCTTCCCACCCACACTTAGAGTTAACGCCACAATAGGAAAGCATATTTGCAAGTGCAGCAGCAGCTTTACTCGCAACAGCCATACAGATGCACGGATGTGAGACTTTGGTGTGCTTCCAGTCTTACAAAAGTAGTTCAGTAAAACATGCAGAGCAAATGAACATCATTATGCATACACACAAGTATTTTTTGGCATGCTAGCAGCATGGCTCTAGGGATGGGAATATCTGGTTGCTCGGTCAGTCCTGAGCTTTGGTCAAGACCATATCATATCTATTTTATAACTATTTGATAGATTGCCATGAAAGTTTGTTCAGACATGATTTCCGAGAGAATCAATCCTTTTTTTCCCCTCCAGCACCACCAGCAGGTCAAAGCTCTTATTTATTTTGTGAAATATGTCAACATTTACTATGGGTTGGCAAAACATTTTGTACAGGCATTCATGGTGCCTAGAGGATGAATCCCTCACTTTGGTGACCCCCTGACTTTTCATCTAGCACCGCCATGGGCTTGAAATTTGTAAAGAGTGGCATGTGACAAGTGGTATGTGACAGAAAAAAAACATTTATAATTTTTTAAAAGGTAAAAATAATTCATTTGAAAAGCTAATTTCATTTTGATATTATTACAGTTATA